AGAGGCAGGTGGTTAGAAGATGTGTCGGACAGATGTTGCACACTGCTGCAGTAACTGTGAGACTAACTAGTGTGGATCTTTTTTTTTTTTTTTTTTTTTTTTTTCCTAAATTAGTTTTTAAATTTGCTTCTTGTCCAACACAAGGAAAAAATCTACCACATTGTGATTCATACAGGCAGTGAAAGTTTGCTTTGTGTAAACTGAGGAAACAGCTTTAAAACTGAAATCTTGTAAAGAGGGGTAGGAAACAGATTGTAACCTAGCTCAGGCATATACAGTTTCACTGATGGACACAAAGCTTGGCAAACACCTTAATCCAATCCTAGCTAGCGGAGTCTGAGTGCTGGGAATCTGTCAGGAGGTTGGGCCCCGTGATGATTATCAAAGCTCCTCAGCATCATGCAGCCATAAGGGCACAGCTGACAGCTTGACTAGGTCCATGGCAAATGCAATTTTCTGAAGTTTTACTACAACTCTGCCCCTGTTACTGTGACTAGTCGCATCCAGGTGCTGCCAAGAAGGAGGAAAGAGGAACATTGTAACACAATCCCAAATATGCACAGTGAAAAGCTTACTAAGACTTTGCACAATAACATTTTTAGGTTCTCTAAATGGACAGGTATAGAATAATTTGAAATAGGTATGTATGATCAGCCATCATCACTGCAGAGTTATGAGGTTTTTTTAAGAGGAAGCTGGAGGAATTTGCTGGTGGTAGGCACCATTAGAGAACAAACAAACAAAAACAAAACAAACCCCACATGTATAACAATTACATATGTTGCAGTAACACAAATAAGCATGCTACATGCTAATCAGGCTAAGGAGCAGCTCTTTTTACCAATTTCAACGTGCTATTTGTTGTGTTCTTCATAGGGTATACAAATACAGATTTGATTCCATTCACCGCCAGCCCTGCATCTAAGTAAGGGTCTAAACACAGCTAGCAACAGAACCAGGATGCTTTACTGATGAACATTACTGATGAACTAACCCTACTAGGGAAAAGTGAAATATTTTTTTAGTTTTGAGATTTGAAGGCCAAATTCAATAAGCTTGATACTTGCTAGATATGTATCCTTTAAAGATGTTAATATAAAGATTAAAATCATTTTTTGGGGAAGGAGGAAAGCTGTATCACAGTTATTTTCTACACTAAAGCCAAAATATCAACTTTTGCAGGAATTTGTCTGCCTCTCTGATACTCGCAGCAGCATGGCACCTCTGCCTTCCAGTGTGCTATTCCTCTTTTTCCACATGAATTGCCAGCATAATCATAAAACCTAATGGTTGACTGTTATCAACACTTGCGTTGCCACACAACGAAATATGAAGAAAAATCTGAGAGAAAACCTGAAATGAAGCTGCTTAAGAATGACCAAATAAATATATTTACTCTGAAAAATACTCCAGCTTTGGCATAATTAGCTAATTAAGCCATAGCCAGTATAATTATCTACTTTTAGAGAGAGTGTATGAGAAAAGCAAAACATAAAGGTGAAACAAACAATATTGCATTTTAGTGTAAAAAAAAAAAACAACAAACCAAGCCAAACCACAATAAAACAAAGCAAAACAAAACCATTACTGTAACCTTAGATGCTTCCATTAGACAGAATTTGTATAGCACAATTTCTAGCTTTCTCTTCACCCCACTCCAGACTGGTGCTGTTCACCCTGAAATGGGACTTATTATCTCTATTGTTGCTTTTTCCCAGGCACAAATCCTGCTCATAGAGTTTATTCCATCCCCTCCCTTGCAAGCTGTCCTTCACCTCAAAAGGTCTTAGTATTGAAAGGGAAAGAATGTAAACAACTAGATAGACATTTAGTCTTGTGTCCTTAGCATGCTTTGTCCCCCTAAGCAAATCACAAGTGCCAAGCATGCATGTGAGGTGCTTCTGCACTGTTTTGTTCTAGCAAGGAGATTGCAGCTTTCCTAGGGCCACTGAGGATGCCACAGTGCTGCAAGAGAGCATGCAAAAGAGGAGGCACAGAGAGGTGAGCCCATTTCACTCCTCCTCCCCACTGCTATAGCCAAACTTTGGCAGAAGCGGCAAATTCCTCCCCACAGCAGTCTTCATCCCACAGAAGCAACAAGGGTGGGCAGAAGGTAATGATATGTCCTTCCCCTGGAGTAACTAAGCTGAAATTCTTTCTCCATATAAGTTGGCAGGACTCAAACTCTCTTGGATGCTGCGGCCCCAACCTTGTTTTCAGTACAGTATGCTGGGAGGCTCAGAGCACAACCATTGCTGCCAGGCATCCTTCTCATTCTGCAGCAGCCTTCTGGAGAAGAGACGCAGACATCCCCACCCTCCCAGCACCGGCAGAAGGACTGAATCATCAAACCCATCTCTCTGAGGCAATCTGCCAGACGACAGAGCTGCTGGTGGGGTGCCTTGATGCTGTCAGCTATCCATATGTCTATTGGACAGCTACTGCCTGTGCAATCCCTACTCAGAAAAATTTAGAGCATGGTTGGGTATGTCTGCATGTGAACCAATTCCATCACCCAAGCCAATTAAATAAACAAATAAAGAGTTAAAAAAAAGAAAAGAAAAAAAAAAATTTGTCACTGAATAAACAGCTCATCTATTTACTTTCTTGTCAACATGAACTAAACTATGACATAGTAAATATATTACAAAATTTAAACCTGGGCAAATTCAAAATGATAGGAAGAGTAAGAGAGAGAGGGCAGGTGGGTGGATTCAGCACAAGTTAACACCTACTGCTGGCTGACTCAAACTGTTCATCTCTGCAAATAAACTGATCTGTAAACTAAGAGCAGCTGAGCAGAGGGAGGTTACAACACAGCCTCACCATACAGGGAATTTCCAGCCTACCCAAAGCAAAGCAGTGGGTAAGAATTTTCCTATCAAAGGCACAAGGCTAGGTATACTTCTTTCCTTCTTGCCCAGCACTCACATAGTCCACTTCGTTGTTCTGGCACAGAACTTATCTTGCTTCTGTTCTGCAACAAGATCTGCCAAAAACTAAAGCAAATGCCGACTTCTTTTCTAGGCAGTGTCACTTTGTGGTATTGACAAATACTCTGGGATCTAGCATAATCATACTGTAGCTCTGGGACAACAGCAGGGCTGTGACAATATGGCAGATCAGCCTGCTCTCTGGACTTCGTCTCTGACTACAAAAATCAGAACATTTCATTTTAAATATAGAAAGAATCTCCTCGCATGATAGTTTGAAGGTTCCTTTAGATTGCTGCAGCAGCCTGTTACCCTCAGACAGGACTGGAGTACCGTTGTGTTTGGCACTGTTACAGATCATTATAGATTACAGGGTTGATGCCTGCACTGCCCTCTTATCAGACTTTGAAACAAGACATGACTAGGGGAAAAGGGTAATATGACAGTGAAATAGCCCATATCACTTTTTCAAAGACATCCATTACCTCACATTTTCTTTCTTCACCACCAGAAATTTGAGCTACCTTTTTGCTGTGTGCTTTTAAGAACAAAAAGGAATAAACGATTTCCTTGTAGCACAAGCCTTCATTAATATCTACAAGTACCATACTCAAAACATTACATGGAATATGAACCTGCTTTCTGCCTCAAGTCTTACAATCCTCAGCTTTCTGAAATCCTCCTCTTTCACCCTTTCCTGACCAGAGCACAAAGGTTGCTCACCACCACCATCCCAATTTAAGCCTTAGAACTTATTTAAATTAGAAACAAACATCAAATCACTTTGTACTGCGTGACTGGAGTGATTTTTCCTCACCTGGAGTGCATTTTCCTACTAGAGGTAAATCCAAAAATAGCTATAATCATACGAACTAAAGGTAATGAAGTGTTACTATATAGCTTATTCGATCTAGTGCATTCCTAATTTCTTTTATTTTTCCAGTGCCATATCTTTTTGAGTTCTAGGCTTTTCAAAAGATGAATCTGAAGTAATTTCTCTATGGAAGTGAGAATGAATCATTGCTATCGTAAGTTAACCAGTGCAATCTTCATACAAAAAGATATACTCTTTCTGAAACAACCTTGGCACACAAGCTGAAAGCCTGGTATGAGAGAGAGAAGATATAACAGGAAATTCAGAACAAAGAATTAGGTAGCTGAGTAGATATGGCAGTGAAATAAGGTTGGGCTACTCTACGCACAATATTTTACATGTATATACTCTGAAGATATCTGACATGGGCTGAGGAATCCTCTCTCTTTTGCCAGCTACAAGCTCACTAAGGAAAGGCATGTCTCTTATTTAGGATATCTATTGCCATAAGCATCTGGTCTTGACGCAATCCTGTAATTAATTATGGGTCATGACACCCAAGAAAGCCTTACTACCCCCCTTGGCTAAAGGGCAGTTTGCGTGCTGGCTGTCAGTTACTATTTAGTGTTTTGATTTATGTGATGAATCCTGGGTCTACCCAAAATGTTTTCTTCCACCTTCACTTTTCATGAAACCTGTTCATTTGTTCACTGTGTTCCTTTCTTCAAAGCAAAACTGATCCTTACTGGAAGTGGCATTTTCTATCAGTTAATGATGGGAAGACAAAGCAAATAACAAGGTGCTGGTCCTATTTTTATCCTTTTCAAAGACAGACTTGCCAGAAACAAAATTTGTAAAGCTGAATTCCTTTTTTGTAAGACTGTCCTGGGGGGTCAGTCTTCCTCTCAGGATGCACTTATGAGAATGGGATGGCAGGGCAAGTTGTGCAATCACACTGCATTCTTCTAAAGGCTTCATATTCTTAGAAAAAAGTATTTCTGAATATGATTAAAGGACATAAAAGTGACATCTGGGCAACTTTCTCCTTGTCACAATGACAATGAAACACCGCTTATCCTATTTGTTTTCACTCTTTCCTGAGTTTTCTGATATTGCAACATTTTTCCTTTTTACAGAATGGCTCTACAGTCCAAACCCTCTCAGAATTTCATTTTCATTATCCTTTTGTGGGCTGGGAGCCCCATGCTGTAATCAGACTCCACTGTTTTCACTGAATCTTTTCTTGTTTTTAGGTCCTGTTTTCACATCAGAACATGAGAAGAATAAGGGAGATACCTGTGCTATCCTCATGAATCCTGGTTAACTCTACATCTGTCTCATGAATTTCAAAGAAGTCCTACATAAAATTCTATACACAAGGTATTGTGTGAAACCCAAAACAATACTGGCCTCAACTGCTCAGGACTGGAAGACCAGGAATGTTAGGAACTGGCTGCAGAAGAAAGTAACCTCTCCAAATACCTCCAGTATCAAAATCTAAATCAAAGACTGCTTATAAATGGGTAAAAAGCCTTCTGATGGCCTCAGTGGAGAGCTGTAGTGGTCACACTCTGAGATCACTGATAGTTTTTTAACATCTCCTGAAAGGACTCAGATGTCAGCAAGATGAGGAATCAGAGTGGTGCACCACCTGGTAGTCAGTGAAGCAGTGGAAAGACAGGAGCACTGTGAATCTGCTGCAGACACCACCTGTAGAAGTTAGACACCAAGTGGGGCAGCCTGCATGCTTAAATGTGCATTATTTATACAAACTGTGGAGAAAATACAGCCTTGTTATTTGCACTGTTCCTTTAAGTAGGGGACAGTCCTCTGTTGTATAGGTACATGCTGTACTGTTAGAGCTCTGATCTAAGATCGGTGCTACTGAAGATGTCTTTCCCAAGTCAAACGGTTTTATAACACACATTTAGCTACATTAACAACATTAAGATTGCTGTATTTTCCCAAATCGTGACATGAGGAGGAGAAATTATCATATTTGAAATGCAAGGAAGGATTTTATGAGAATGCACTGAAAGCTAAATCAGGACTGCTCCCAGCTGTGTTTCCGGAGGCATGTTTATTCCACTACCTTACTGAATCACCTTGAGCAAGATATTTAACCTCTTTCTTTCTACATCTATCTGTATCTACATCTAACCTGTCCCAGATTTAAAATAGCAAAAATAGTGGTAACTGTGCAGCTGTGTTCTGGCTTGTTAATATTCACGAATGGTATGAATTTGAATACATTAAAACTTTTCATTTAGACATCAAAATGTTGACTCACCTGAATCTTAATAATTTTTTTTTTCTATGGTTCATTTTGGCATCAAATGTGTAGCTCACTATTACAGTGATGGGTGGGGACAGCTCCTGGCATTTGGGTTCAGAGCAGCTAAGAGAGGGGATGTGGCAGATGTTATGGGCAAGCACTAGCTCATTGTGAATTCCCCTCAAGAAAAAATGCTAAGCCTCTGATGAGCTCTAATAAATAATTAGCAGCAGAGATAAAACAAGAGTACTGCTGCCTCATGCTGAAAATGGGTTCTGAATTCACTCTCACCCTGTGCAACAGTCCTGGCTGCAGCAGGGATACTTCCCAGCAGCACCACGGGGCTGAGGTGAGAACTGGACTCTTTGCCTTTGTATTCAACTCCCGATGCAGAGCTCAGGGCCAGACATATAAAATACAAACTACCCATATACCTCACTAAATGTTATATGACTTGTTAAGCTTCAAAGGAAATGGGAATACTTTGAAATTAGTGAAAGGTGCTGTCCCACCAGTCCCTGTGGTCTAGAGTCACAAACTCCTTCTTCACATGCCCTCATATACTCCTCATGCACACACAAAAGGACTTATGTCCCTCGAGGATAATGACTACTCAGTATTTTGACTTCATGTGTCATTTATCAAGCAAAATATTGGCCTAGGTAGTATTTGCATGGTCAGCTTCTGTTCAAGATGAAGTGGATTGCTTCTGGCCAGTGTTTTTTTTTATTAGTTGCTGTATGAGTATCAGATGGATGACAGTTCACCGCAATAATCTAGGACAACTTCAGGGACAATTTTAAGATGTACATCTATTTTCATTTAATTTTTGTTTAATTTTATATTTTGTACTTGCATCCTACTAATATTTATTTCTTATTTTATATTTTTATTTCCCACTTTATAATCTGGTAATAAATGTAATTTCTGCCATTTTCACTGCATTTTATTTGCTGTTCCTCAAAGGCATTTTATATTTCAAGGGAAAGAATTACAAAATAAAACAAAATAAAACAAAGAGAGAATAAAAGAAAGAAAGAAAAAGCTCTGTCACTGTATTTCACCCAGCAAGAAAAAAGATATTAAAGAACTAGATAGAATTTTTTCAGTAGAAGTCAACAAAACTGCACAGTGCCAGAACACATGCATCTGTGAAACAGCTTCTCCTTTATGTTTGAAGCCACTCAGGAAGTCTGTACATGCTGCAGACCCTCTAGAAGTCAATGCACACTGCTGCAGCAAACCACTCTCAAAGGACCTGAAGCACTTGAAGCAACCATGTCAGACTTTCTCTTGCTCTGCTTAGAGGGATTTCTTCCCTTTGGAACTGTGACTTCACTTTTTTATTTTTATATAGTTGCTATCTCAGCCTGTCAAATGCAAATGATTAATACATGATGATTAATATCTTCATGTGATGTCCTCTATATCAACAGTTGTTTTATTATTCGGTGTTTAAATATATAAATACTTTGACCAAATAAAGGCTTGTATCCTGGATACAGTGCTACTGGAATAGCTCAGCTCACATGTTGAGGCTGAGGAGTTGGCTTTTTATCATCTCCGAACTTGGAAAGACAGTTCAATGCCTAGCCAGGTTTGAGACAGGGATGCAACAGAAAAGGAGGGTAAAGAGTGAAAGTCATTTATATGCCTTCATCTTTATGAACCCACTGTCCAAATCATGAGTAAAGGTAGACAATCAGGACTTTCAGAAGAAATTAAATCTCTGTCTTCTCTAAAATTGCCAGAATTATGTATTTTCAACTTTTGTCAGAGCAAAAATAATGTAATCATGCTTAACGACAGTATCAGGCTGTTGAGGTTTGCCCTAACTAAGCAACAGGACTTCCTCTTTTTTCAGACATTAGCTGATAGGCCTCCTCACAGCAGGCTTTCACTGTCAGCAGTTAAACAGTGGAACATCCTCTGATGCGGTGTGGTGTTCCATGTAGTACTGTTGGACATAACTCCCTTACACACCTGAGATATTTATGAAGTTTGCAGCACCTTAGCCATTAAGCATGTCTCAGAGTCATAAAATCACAGAACAGTTTAGGTTGGAGGGGGCCTCAAAGCCCACCCATTTCCAATCTCCTACTGTGGGCAGGGCTGCCCCCCACCAGCTCAGGCTGCCCAGGGCTACATCCAGCCTGGCCTTGACACCTCCAGGAATGGGATACCCACAGACTCTCTGGGCAGCTTGTGCCAGCACCATCCCTGCCCTCTGAGTAAACACAATGGAATAGAAGAACGTATATGTATATTTATGTATATAATATGTATATATTATTTATACTAAGCTGTGGGAAATTTGAATTCAGTTAGTTTCTTCCTACCCTAGGTAAGAGTATTCATAAGTGCAAACACTAAAGTTATTATTTGCTCATAAAATGCAGTTGCACTATCACCTGACTGCCAAACTGCAGCTAATATTTAACAGAGAGGTGACATGATAGCAGTGGTTAGTGGAGTGATCTCTGTTCACTTAGTCTATAAAGCACCTGCAGTGAAAGGCACTGTGTAAATGTAAATCAATATTATATTGTTTAAATAATCAAACCCATGGAACCATTGTTTAAATAGACTGGAGCTGCAGAGATGTTTACTCATATTTTACTGCTTAAATTGCCTGCTACATAAAATATATATGGAAAAAGTAAGCTTTCAGAAATATATAAAATTTGTTTTTGTTTTTTTTTCCAGTGGTGAATTTATAAGCTAGAAAGCATGTAGTGCTACAGTAATTCTTAATTTGCGCAGATGTTTTTATTACTCTTAGTATGAAATAGCACAAAGTAGAACCAACCTAAATCTCTTATAAATCTAACAGCTGTCACAATTCAGATACACATTTTAAAGTGGCTACATCAGTGCTTTAATTCAAAACACAGCCGGCAGGCTCACTACAACCTAGGAAGTTCTACAGAACACTTGCAGATTTATTCATCTTTTAAATTATGGTGCATTTATTAATTACACCAATGCCTGGTGGCCAATACTGAGAAGCAATCCCAAATCATGTAGGGCACACCACACATAAAAAAGACACAATCTCCATCCCCAGATGCCTTACTTAATTCAAGTGTTATGGTTATGTAATGCTGTGTCTTAATCATTTATGCCTATCCCTGATGCTGCCACACAATGTCTTCAAAGGAAGTCTTCCTATTAATTTATGTGGACTCCTTTAGCACAATATTTTCTAAGGTGCTCATCCCTATGAGTCAAGATAGCGCTGTCACCCATTACAGATGGGAAACTCAGGCCCAAAGAGTCTGTTTTCCAAATGTTCATATCTTAGTTCAATCCTATATTAAAATATGTTAAGCATACACATGCCTGAGTTCTACTGATGATTAATCTGATGCTCCTAAATATCTACAGTGATTTTTGAGGGGAATCCAAACTGAGCAAGATTGTACTCCTAACATTCCCAGAAGAGGCTTTCTGTGGTAGAGCAAGGCTTCCAGTGTCATGCCTAAGCCAAAGGAGAGGCATCTGGTTTTCTCCCATTCCCTTTCTCTCTTGGACATGGGTTACTCTTCCTAAATTCATGGCAGTTACTTGTTGTTTCCATCAAATAAGAAGTGATTTAGTGTATTTTGGAACAGACTTCTGGTGTTGGCTAAAATGGATGAGAACAATACACATTTACTGTCAGTCGTGCCTGCGTAAGAGTGATTTATATTACAAAAAAAAATGATGAAAGAATGGAAAAGCTGCTGCATTTAAAAGCACATAAATCTCCAAGCATACCCACAGTCACTTGGCTCTGAGCTTTGCAAATTGTATTGTGCTTTTCTGGAAGGAAATCTTTTCTTCAGTGATTAGTTCACAGTGTCAACAGATAGTTCTACCTGTTGTGCTGTACCACTGGCTGCGGTGAGAACATCTTCCTTTGCTCTGGGTGGGGGGGAAGGAGGCTGGAAGTTCACTGAACCATCTGTTGTTTGCATCTCACAATCTCCTAGCAAGTTTCAGTCTTTAAGATTTCTAACAGGAGGCACTGGGGTGGGTGGGGAAAGGTTTTGAGAAAACAAAGATAATGACAAATGTAACTAATCTTACAGTTCATAGAATCAGAGAATGGATGAGATGGAAGGAACCTTTGGTGGCCATTTGGTCCAAACTCACTGCTCAGGCACTGTTATCTCCTGCAGACTGTCCAGGATCATGTAACAAAAGCAGATAGCTTTTAAATATCTTCAGGGATGGATACTCAAACTTTCTGGGCAACCTCTGCCAGTGCTTGCTCACAGCAAGAAGCATTTCCTGATGTTCAGATGGAGCCTCGTGTTTCAGTTTGTGCCTACTGCCTCTTGTCCTGTCACTGGACACCATGGAGAAGAGCCTGACTTTTCTTTTTTTCACCCTCCCTTCAGGTATTTATAAACACTGATGAGATCATTCCTGAGCCTTCTGTTCTCTAGACTGAACAGTTCCAGTTCTCTCAACCTGTCTTTATTTGTCAGGTGCTCCACTCTCTTAGACAAGGCCTTTTGCTGGACTCACTCCACTGTATCCATTTGCCTTTTGCCCTGAGGAGACTGGACCCAACACTCCAACTATTGTATCACTGGTGCCGAGCAGAGGGAAATGATCACCTCCCTGGACCTTCTGGCAATACCCTCCCTAGCACAGTCCAGAATACCATTAGCCTATTTTTGGCAAGGGCACACTGCTGGCTTATGGTCAGCCAGTGTTCACCGTGGCCCTCAAATCTCTTCCTGCAAAATTACTTTCCAGCCTGGCGACCCCTAGCCCATACTGGTGCACAGGGTAGATTCCTCCTCAAGGGAAAAACTTTGAATTTCCCTTTGTTGAATTTCATGAGGTTCCTGTCAGCCTGTATATTCATCCTGATGAGGTCCCTCTGGATGGCAGCATGACCCCTCTAGAATACCAAGATATTTTTGCTTTGCACCCAGTCTCCTAGAGAGAGGAATCTTAGTTCAGTTCTAGATTAAACTAATTGTCTTGATGACAGGATTAGTAGAAGCAGTGCAAGTACACGTTAGAGAAAAAGCTATATGAGACCACATATAGATCATAAAAGCAATGGTGTTTACCTGTGTATGAGATACAACCCCAGCAACCCCTCCTGTAGGATTTCTACCCATAAAGACACAGATCAAAGCACAAAAGAAAAGCACTGAGATTCCACACATAGCTATGTGCATGTTCTATAAAAGAAGGCACGTTCCCTTTTGCCAATGGTAATGAAAAAATAATATATAGCACCCTAAGTTATTTATTTTGTGACACTTGTCATTGCTAGTTAATATGGATTGAACTGCCTTTCAGACATTTGCACAAGCTGCTGCTTCCTTCCCTTTGGGTTTATCCTTCTCATTGGGAAGCCACGTGGAACAAAGCACTGATTGAGTGCTGTGCTGTGCTCATTAGATCAGTATCAGAAACATGCATCCAGCATTCACTGAAACAGAAAAAATCCTGCTGCTAGATTCAGCAGCGGTCCTGAGATGGCAAATACAAAGGACAGTCAGATGGAGGAAACAAGTAAGCAGTGTTCCTTTCATTAATACACAGTATGATGGCACTGGTGTCTCAAGAGCTAAACTTAAGATTCTGATACCAGTCCAGCAGTGAAATCAGGGGGCCCAACAGAAAATCACTGTCACCATTTCCCACACTGCTGAATTTTCATGGGGCCACTACATTCTATTGTGGTCCCCTTTGAACCACCTGCAGCTCCTGCAAAAGGAAATCCAAAGTTGGGACGGAAGCAGAGATGAGACTGGTGAGAACATGATGACCAAGAAGCAGGTTAATACTAACGGGTAGGAAGAATTGATTTTCAATCCTTACCCATGAGTACAACACCCATGAAAATGGTGAGTGGAGAATAAAGCAAACTTTTGTCTTATGCATAAGAAATTTCTTACTAGCAAGGCAGAATTGCTCTTAAGTGAGCACAGCCAGTGGCCCTCAGTCCTGGCACACCACTGTGTTTGAACATATATTGAATGCCATCATTTTAGTAGCTAAGGAATATCACATCCCATTTAGCACATACACAACACTTTATAGAGCAGTAGAAATCTTTTTCCCTTGTGTTTTTCTACACACACATTGCAGTGACATGCATCTGACCAATTAAAGCAAAATAATTTTAGTTAATTAATGCTAAGGGACAATGTGATTCCCTGGCTGCAAGTCATAAGAGCTGGTTTTGATGCATATGAGTGCCACTGATTAGCTCAGGTGCTGGACAATTCATTTCATCTTCCTATGCTTCATTTTCCCTGAGTGCAAAATATAGGGAAATAAAATTTGTTTTCTTTGTTGAAGCACTTTTGAGAGCTGTGAATGAAAAGAGCTACACCTTATCAATGAATCCTCATAAAGCCCCCATGGGAGATTTATGAAAATAGAAATGTCCTCACTGTGCTTCTGGAAAACCGAGCTATAACCAAGTAATGCAACAGGGTGAAAAACTCACTGAGACAGACATTTATTCCACCAGATCTGGCAAGCAAGATGGCATCTGCTTCTGCCCATGGCATCCAATCACCCTCTTCAACTCTCTCACCTCTGCATGACTTCACTTCTGCATTGCTTTATTTATCCTGGCTACCCACTTCACAGCAAATCCAATTACTTCCAATGCCTGACAACCTCCACAAGCTTCTTTTTTCTGTTGCAGGGATATTCTTATTCATTGCACCAAATTGACTATACATTTTCACATGACTATACACATCATTCAGAGTACTTTTTGCTGACCTGCACTGGGCTCAGGAACTTAAATGCTTCTAAGTACTTTCCAAAAGTTGTGCCTTGAGAAAAACTAGCACATTTTCTTTGATTGCATTCCAAATATTCCAATATTACTTAAGTTTTATCTTATTCTGTTATTCTACTTAACTTTACATAGATGCTGGTCTCAAACTGACAGTTTCACAGTGTATTAGCTGAATCTAATAAGGCGAATAATTCCCAGCTGATAATTGATTTGATTATTTCAACATATTTTTATAATTGAGGAATAGAAGTTAACAGAATTGAGTTTCCTCATATTATTTTTCAATATTTGAATAAATACTCCTCTGACAAAGTTTGCTCTCAATTAGAATCAAAACCCAAATACCAATGTTCTTATGACAGATCCAGTTTTTCTTCACTGGCTCCAGAAGTCTTTCAAAGCTATATGAATTTATGCGTTTGGTTCTATTTCACCCTTTGATTCTGACTTCTGTTGGTAGCTAATATATATCCAAAGACAAACTTTAGCTCAATGCACGTGATGTGTGTGTACAGAAATAGAAAAGCTGGAAAGAGAAATAGAAAAGCAGACAAGCTTGGATTCTAGGGAATTGTCATTAGCACAAGTATGCTACATCAATCATTCCTCCCAAACAGAAGGAATAAGCAGTAACACTGTTTTTCTGTTCTGTTAAGCTGCTTCCTACCCACTTTTAATCCTGAAAATTTATTACTTCTTTCTTTTTCATAGTCAGGTTCACTGCAAGAGGAACACTTGTTTTACATCAGTAGAAGTCGAAGAAGTAGCAGAACTGGAAGAGCTTAATGAATTCGAGGATTGCTTTCAAAATTATCTCTCTCCCTGTATTTAATATGGTATAAAACATTAAATGCTCCAAAGCTGTCAGCAATTACAGTTGTGCAAAATGGATGTTAGTGAAGTTAGAAACAAGCTATTTCAAATGGGTGAAAAATCTCTTGTTAACAACCCTGAATCTTGAATTGCTGAATAATTAGAGCCTGTGTTATGGGTAGACAGCACAAACTTCCTCCCACATTGCTTCCTCTCACAGTAGTATGTTTCAATTCCACCTACAGGAGGTGGAAAGGGAAACTTCTGACTACCAGTCTGTCAAGTTTTGCTTTCTTTGTTAAGACTTGTAACGAGGATACCAACTGAGGTACTATTATTTTTTCCTAAATTGGAAATGTTACTGAAAACAGTAGTCAGAGAATACTATAGAGACTTGTAATGTATGGTTCAAAACAGACATACAAGTGATGAGCAGACCAACAGATAATCCAACAGATTGACAAATGCAACATAGATTTACCAGACACCATTAGCAGTACTACTGATGTCTATCTCAGCTCAAATTTAAATCAGTGACCAATGAGTAAAAGATTTTATATCCTGCTTTTCTCCTCCTGCCATCAAAGGACAAAATAGCAATTGCATTTACCTGTAGATCAGGACTTCATCATCCGAACAGTTATACTGCAACTGATACATTTTTACTCGGGGGGCTGACTTGCTCACCGTCCACTTCACCAAAGCTGAGGTAGTGGTCACTTCTGACACCAGGACTGCCCTTTCTGGTGGGCCTTTTGTTTCCCCTCGATTAGACTTGCTGGAGCTGGTGATGTCTGAAAGCCTGGACTTTGGTGGGGCAGCTCGGCCTGTGCCATTGCTGAGATGAGGGAGCTGAACAATTGAGAGCTCTATTGTTGCAGTCGATTCTCCAGCAGCATTGGCTGCTATGCAAGTGAAAGTCCCATAATCCTTGGATGTAGTGATGAGAATATCTAAGGTGCCATTGTCATAGACAGATGTCCTTGAAGAGTTTCCGATGAGGCGGTCGTCAGGGGCCACCCAGTGAATGATGGGTGTGGGATCCCCAATGGCTTTGCATTTCAGTGTGGCAGTTTGCCCTTCTAAAACCAGCAACTTGTGAGTATGTTGTGTGATAAGAGGAGGCTCACAAACAAATTCTTCCTCCCGTACATACCAGAAGTACCTTCCCTTTAGACCCGGAGGAGAAGCACAAGTTTCCATATCGTCATCCCTGTCAAGTCTCCTCAACCACAACAGCTCACAGTTGCAATGTAGTGGGTTACCCCCAAAGCTGAGAGACAAAGGTGGAGAAAACGGGGTAACGGCTAATGGAATTACTTGAGATCTGGCAAAGATAGGGTCAGGGGGAAGCTTCTGAAGTCTGTTGGATGTTAGATCCAATCTGGCTAATTTCTGAAGATCTGCAAACGTCCCCTCCGTAATATAGTCTATCAGGTTATGATCTAAACTGAGCTGGTGCAAGTTTATCATCTTCCTTATAGATTCCCAGGGAATGCTTCGGAGGTTATTGTAGGAAAGGTCTAAGTCTTCCAACGTCAGCAAAAAATCCTCAAAGGCTTCATCTGAGATGCTGGTTAGCTGGTTGTTGTTTAAAATCAAGTGCTGAAGGTTAATTAAGCCTCTCAAAATATCTTCTCCAATGTCAGGCAGCCTGTTGCTGTCCAGATGCAAAGACCGAAGGCTCTCCAAGTCAGTGAAAGAGTACGGCTGTATATAACTGATGGTGTTTCTGGACAATGTGAGGTCAACGAGTCCAGACATATTGGCAAAATCCTGTCGGCTGATATTAATAATAAAGTTTCCCCCAAGTCGAAGCTCAACAGTCCTTCGATCTATGTCTAGCGGTACAAACAGTAGACCCTTCGAAGGACACAAAGTCCCAAGCGACTCAGACAGGTTCTGGCAGACACAATATTTGGGACAAGCATTGACCATGACAGCCATTCCAAACACCAGGATGCCACAGAGCAATTTTTCCATGGTAAATCACGTAGCAGTACCTGCAAGAAATGGAAACAGTGACAAGGAGCGTCAGCAGTTATAATACAGGTATCCTTCATCCACGTTTTATCTGATATCTACTTCTAGAGACATTACCCAGTGCCTTCTCTCAGGAGTCGCTTTCACAGCAGTCAACACTCTGAGACAGCAAATTTAAGTGCTACAGCAGCATTTCCCCCAGTCACGCATTTGTTTCTTAAAAATGTATGTTTGATTCCAAAACTGAACAGAATAGGAGTTCTTGGAACTTCTGCCAGCTAATAGATTATTACAACTATATTTTCTCTTTTTACAATTTTATAATTCCCACTAGGTAGAGGACAAATCTTGCTGTCATGTTGCAAGGTTTATTTAAAACTATGAAAGATTTCACTTGGAATAGCGCCTGCTTCTTTGAGGGTAGAATCTGTCTTATAATAATTACATATTGATGCATAAAAATGTGGAATTAATCTTAGAGTTGAAAGAGCTGATTTTATGGATAAAAATAACTACATATTTACCCTTTAGTGATACAGTTCTTAATGACCACATAATTATCGGGCAAGTCCCGAGGCAAGCAAGTTCACTTGCCCACCCCTAATAAAATTCATGATAGGCAGCTTAGGAAGCAGAAATCTCTTGCATAATCATCACCTGGAATCACCTTATGCTCAGCCATCCTACAGGAAAGATGACATTGAATAACTTTAAAGAAAAAAAAAGCAGGGAAAACACGTTACCTTGGGCTTCTTGCAAGCTTTTTGATTCCTGCATGATCTCACACTACAGCCCTTCCTAATGTAATCACAGCAGAGCTCCTCATGATGCCCACAGCTGTCTGTGCCTTGTTTCCCACCCATTTTTTATTTGGGTCATTATCCCTTCCCCCCTCCTCCCCTCCCCCCCCCCCAGCTCTTATACACTTTTCTGGCTTGAACTGTAAAGTATGTTTCTTTGAAAAATAAACAAAAAGTATTGGAGTTTCCTTCTCTGGAGTTACTCAGGACCTGTCTGGACACTTTCCTGTGTGACCTATTATAGAGAACCTTCGGCAGAGAGGTTAGACTAGATGATCTCCATAGATCTCTTCCAACCCCTGCAATTCTGTGATTTACAGCCTGACTGTGAGGGCTGACTGAGGCTGGGAAGAGCCCTAAACACAATAAGATGTGAGGCATCCTCATGCTTTTTCAGTTGCCTCTCTAGTGTTGACCTTCCAAGATGCCACTGCTGGATGCATGGAGGCATGACACAGAGGGCTGCACTCAGTACACATGTAGAGCTGATCTCCATGCCTCACAACTCACTGCCATTTCTGCTGAATAGCAACTATCCACCTTCTGTGCCTCCTGCTGCAGAGCAGCTCGTGATGGTCTGTGAGTGGGCACGTGAGGTGTAAAGTCATGCTGTTCCTTGCATTCCGTAGGTGGTGGATAGTCACCTGTGCCTAAGCTGGTTCTGTTACTGCTATACACGTGACAGGATAACATGCAAAGTCTCATAAGAGCTTTAATAATTAACTAATATGAGGCCACTCAAATGTTAACAAACACATGACATTAGAGATGCATCTCACAAAAAAGTCACGGTGCCATTATTTATATTTCATCCCACCGCAGAAATGACAGTTATGCAGATGTTCTGTAAAATTAAAATAAGTTATGAAGGTCAGTTTTTAATCCAGTAGTAGCACACACCAAACAGAGAAGAAAATCTATCACTTCAGTCAGTGTTTTTTAACTCTTAAAACCACTTTTTCCCCCTGCCTGTGAAAGAAACGATAACATGAGCACTATGGGCCTGCACACAAAAGCAGCTGCTTCCTCTCATAGGTAAGATGGTTTGGTTTCTCCAGTCTGGAACATGGAGTAACACAGAGCTGTAGAAATGCAAGATGCTGTGTTTGCTGAACTATGCATGTTAGTTCAGTTATGCCAAGGTTTTCTGCATGGCGAGTGCTAGTAGTTATATAACACTAACGCTGTTCTTTAGGAGAGGAAAGGATCAGAACAGAGAAAGCATCTCTGTTTGCTGAACTCCGCAAACAAGATAACAGCAAAGTACTTTTAGAAAGGATGGCTTGGGAAGACTAATTTTTTACCTCAGTAGTAAATAAAAGGCTACTGAATAAAATGTTTGGAGCTTAGCAACCAAGTTACTGATGCAAATCTGCAGCATACTTAGCAAAATGCTGTAAATATCCTTTATATTATCAATTAGTAGTTTACTAACAGGCAATTGGCTTTTTGAATTTTAATTATAATTGTGTTCTGCAACTTTAATTCAGCACATTACCCTACCAGCTGAAATTGTAAACAAAAAAAAGCAGTGTAAAAGGGGGAGAAATAGATACAGTTAATTAGTAATAAGCCCTTTCATAGCTTCTCCTTTATCTACATTCCCACCCTCTAAATATCTATTCATAAATGTGAATGCACACTTAGGAGAGCAGTGTCTCCTTTAAGTGTCCCAATTCTCTAACCACATTTTTTCCGGATGCTGTTAAATATCACAGAGCTTTGGGGAGACAGTTGACTCTAAGTATCAGAATGAAAAGCATTTATAAAAGAAAAACTGGGGGGAGGAACAGAATTTAATTACAGAAAATAGGGACTGCAACACCGAGAGGAGACTATGAAACAGGAGATCTAAACGGCAAAGTAAGCCCTGATGGGGAAACCATCTGTGGATGGATTGAAAGCTCGTCATCTGTCTGTGTGCGCTTGCATGTGCACAAGAAAAAGAGGCAGAGAGCACATTATTTGCTTTTATCAGCAGAACAGATCAGTAGCATCTGTACTAGGATGCAAACATCATTGCTATTGTCTCTCTGGTTGTTGAATGCATTTGGAAATATTAACGTAAATACTGTTTGTTCAAAAAGGACATTTCTAGCCTTTATCATCTGTTGCCAGCATCTGTACTTCAAGCTTCTGAGCCTGTCCTGACATGACAAAATCATGACACAGCAAATAGGATACACACCAAGTGCTTACAAACAGCAGATTGGAAAGAACTGTTGTGGGCAGGACTCTTTAAAGAGAACATCTGGGGCTTTTGCAGGACAACTGCTTTTCTTTTTCCCCTCCAGAAAGGCAAAACACCAACTCAGCAGACATGGAAAGAATATGGGAGTCTATTATATGACTGTCTTCTAAAATCTAGTCTCTACAACAGAGTCAAAGTAATTGGTAGCTGCCAAGAAGATGGATGTATAATAAAAATTGTTTTGATTTCAGTTCTGGTAACATTCATACAAAGCAGAATATGAATTGTTAAGTTTAGGGTCTGTTTTTGCCAAGAGGTTTGTTCACCTTATTCCCAAATCTCCTGTGACCTGCAACACCAAGCATTTTACAGGCCGTTAGTGATAGCCCTGTCATAAACTAACCATTCTGATTTACATTTAAAAGGTATCCATCAGCCAGCTAAAGTAGATTTCTCACAGCGAGTCAGTAAATCTGGCAGGGTTTCTCTCTCAGCCCAAGATGAAAAATAGTCTCTTTAGTCCTCTTATAACATATATTGGTATGAATTAATATGTGCAAGAGTCATAAACCTTGGTGTTTTGTATTCAAATTTTCCTCATAAAGATACAACTTCTGAGATTTGGCATCTCATTTCAAGAATGCCTCTGAGGCATTTTTTAATTCTGTATTCATTGAGCTTTGCATATAAATTCCAATAACCTTTGCATACCATAGCACCAAGTACAAGGCAGCTGTCAGACAAGAAAGGTACCACTGCAATATGTGGGCTAGGAGAAAAAATAAATACAAAGAAGGGTGGATGGGTGGTGGTTCTCATTAGTCTATCTCCTGTTACACAGGGATACACTTCCCAGGAATGTATGGATGAGTTACACTTTTTTCAGGTTTGTAGGTGCTCTTGGAAGAATTGCATTTATTTTTTTCCTAGGAGCTACTCTTTTCCTCTTAACCTTCTCATCTCTTATCACTGTATTCATTGTATGTCTTGTCACTCTGTCTACCCTGTAGCTGCAAAGTTTGATGGATTGCAGTGATGGATGAAGTTTTCTGGGTATTCTCTGAAGCAACTGACAGCCTGTAAGAGGGAATTGAGTCATGTCAGGGAAAAAATTATTCCTTAATCCTTTACATTTCCATTAACTATGTGGTAGAGGTCTCAGTATGCCCTGATACATACAGTTTGTTTATGTCTGATTCACCTAGTGATGAATAACACCTCTGCATCAGAATCTGTCCTCAGGACTGTACAGATTGAAACAGTTTTGTTGTTCAGCCACTGCTAGTTTCATGAGCATCTTTGAAGCTGTTGAAACTTGGTTGTACGTAGGTGCTCACAGTTTCACAATCAGGACACTAACACTAATTTTATTTATCTTTTGTCTTTTGTGTTCACCTAGGTTTTAGCATTCCTCTGGGGGTAAAGCTGCATATCATCAGCTGTACAGATGTACAGTGCCATTTAGATTTTAGCTACGCCTTTTTGGGAGCTGGCTTTATAATTATACTTTATAATAATTAGTAGCATTAACATGTGAAATTCTTGCTTTCTCCAGCTATCCTACCTTTTACAGAGAGGAAACATTTACAAACACACACTATTTCAGGTATTCGTGGCTATCCTTAGTAAGGTCGACCTGCATTAATTTGATCAACATTGCTTCCATAGTGTCTTAGTTTCAGCTGGGATGGAATTGTTTTCTTTGCAGTGCCTGGTGTGATGCCATGTTTTGATTCAAGGGAAAAACAATGTTGATAAAACACCGATGTTTCTATTTGCTGCTGAGCAGTGTGGTACAGAGCCAAAGACCTTCTCAGTGAAGGACCCAAGAAGCTGGGAGGGAATAGAATTAGGACAACTGACTTAAACTGGGCAAAGGGATTTTCCATACCACACAACATCATGCAGAAGGAGTTCTGAAGTAGGGGTAGGAGTTAATTGCTCTCTCTCCTGCTGTTCAGAAGGCTAGTGAGGCATCAATCGAAGGGTGGTAATAACTATTATCATTTTCCTTTTCTCTTAGTAAATA